CCTCATCGTTGTGTCACTCCTGAGGACACGACCTCTTCGTCTATCCATTTGTTTCCCACTTATATATCGGTTAATAATTATATTAAATGTATTAAACACTTAATGAATTAAAAATCAAAACACTGTAGAAGTAATCAAAACACGTGTTAATCACACAAACGATAAGACAATGCAAAGCAAACACAAAGTGTTGACAACGAGACTCACAGCAAGGCTTTGGAGTCCAAAGTTTGGACAACAAGTTTCACACAAACGTTACACATATAGAGGGTATTGGGGGCTAAGCATTGAACCCCCTTTCATGTATACCAACAGTGCATTCCTCTCCATAACATCTTTATATACGCGTAACGGTATTTGTGACGGTTTCCAAGTCATTGACTCACATCTATTGACACATATTTTCATTACACGTGTTTTCATAATGAAAATTTCATTGAATGTAAATATTGTGACATTTGTTGTGACAAAAACACTATTCATTCATACAATCACTTCATTTGATCCCAAGATATGGCACAACAGATGAAACGCTTTAAGATACCACTCAAGAGGAAAGATGCCGGCAATGAAGACAACAAACAACAGGTATTTTGCATACAAATTGAGTGTTTAGTGAAATTTAAATGATTTTATCACTCATTTTAGACACAAATCAATGCCAAAGAGTCTTTGGATCGATTCGGTGATGATTTATGCGAACTCCTATTGTCTTATCTCTCACTCGAGGATCGATTTCGATTGGAATGTGTGTCTAAACAGTTCCGGAGGACAATCTTCGTGAGTGTTGTGGACATCACTCTTAGCGATGAATTAATACAGAGATTACTGTATGAGAAGGCAATTGACGTCGAGTTTACGATTTACACACAAATTGTGGACACAATTGACACCAAAATGTTGACCACAATAACCAGAAAGTGTCCAAACATTCAGACCATTGACTGTCGAGGAATAACCAGGGATTATAAACAACACATTCCCGATGTGTTGAACACATTTCGAGGCAAATGTCTTAATTTACGGCACATTTACTGCAATACGTGTAAAAACAGTGATCAATGGATCCGTTCATTTGGACCACTGGTCACCCGAATCGATCATCTTTTCGACAGACGAGCGCTCACTCATTGCCACCGGTTATCACAATTAAAAGCCGATTATTTGGATCAAGTTTTTGACTACACTTCTGGAGCACTACTGGCAAAGAATTTGCATAAACTAGAGTTGAAACTAGAGTTCAAATACTTTTCAGACTATAATAACCACCGATGGTCTGAATTTGTGGACCACAATCAGTGCCTAAGAAGTGTTGTCTTTGAGAATAACATACGAGACGTCAAACACGAGAGTCTGACCGAAATGTGCGGACAATTGTCACGATTAACACAATTACAGGAATTGAGTCTCGGCTTTAAGATAATGGATTCGCAGCACTCATTCAACGACTATTTGCGTACATTTGGCGTGAATTGCAAACAATTGAAACGATTGTCGTTTACTTTATACTCAAAGAAGAGTGAATACACTCTCAAGACATTGGATTCGTTGGCATATTTCCGGCGATTAAAGCGATTACATCTAACACTCGATGTGACCGTCGATGAGATATCGTTGGATGCGTTGAGACNTTTATACTCAAAGAAGAGTGAATACACTCTCAAGACATTGGATTCGTTGGCATATTTCCGGCGATTAAAGCGATTACATCTAACACTCGATGTGACCGTCGATGAGATATCGTTGGATGCGTTGAGACACTGCCGACGGTTAACACATTTAGACATCTATTTGATTAAAATGAACGCAAATGTGTTGCAAATCATACGCAAAAACTGTCCACAACTTCAATATCTATGCATTCAAAACATGAATAGCATTATAGACACCGAGTGTTTGTCACACCTCTCAAGACTACCGGCGCTGCAAACGCTTGTCCTTCACTGCAAGAGAAGCGGAGGTCTGAAAGATAATGATTTCTCGGATCTGTTGTCCAGAAGTCCTAAACTAAAGACAATTGAAATCTGTGTAAAAAATGTTAAGAAGTTTTATTCAAAAATAAAAATACAATAAATGTTAAAATGTCTTAATTTCGAGATATTTATTTAGCAATTGATGGCAAAAGTATGACGTGATTATCGCCATGAAATAGATTGTGTTGAATATATTTGGGACAATTACTAATATTACCAATAACAAATTATTTTATTTGTATTATTGTATAAATATTGTAATAAACAATAATTGTAATAAATTGTATTTCAATTACAATATTTATTTAAAGTAACAGTAAAGTAAACAATATTTTTAAATCTATTACTCTACAAAAATTCTATAATAAATAATTCTTACAAATATACTGTATAATTGATTACTGAATTAGAGCTAACTTAAATACAATTAAATATGAATTAAAGCACAATTATTATTAAATAAAAATTTATATATTTTTATAATTAATTTTAATGGTTGTAATTTTTGGACACTTTATAATGAGATTTTTCATAGAGTTTTTAGTGAAGTTATTATTTCCACTAAAGTTCTCATCGACGAGACTAATGGTCTGTATTTGTGGTAATTTTGACAATGAATTCAACACATTATCAGTGATTTTTATAACATAATAACATTCAATGGATTTAAGTTTAGGGCATTTTTCATTAATATTATCAAAAAACAATTTATTAATCGGTACAGAATATGATAAATGTGTTAAATGTTTTAATTTAAATGCTGTTTTATTAATGTGTACAAAGTTAGCAGGGAACATTCCACAAATTTTCAGACGTTGTAATTGTTTAAAGTACTGATTAATTGTTGCAAACATTTGATCGTATTTGTCGTTTGTGTTGATGTCCACTAAACCCATCCTTAATCGCCGTATTTTATGGCAATTAATACCGATTTGTTTCAAACGATTAGCAGTAATTGGTACATGGGCATTTCTTATATGTTCTATAGTAAATTTTAATTCACTTAATTCACGCATTTGTGACAAACAATCAAATAATGTATTGATTGACAACTTATGACACTTCGTATCAATCGTTAGACGAATTGATTTTAAACTGTTTTTATATTTATCAGTAAATTTTTTAAAGCAATGATTGTGTTTAGACCAGTAATTGAGTGAAACTTTCCGTAATTTACGAAATACGTGATCATTTCCACACAACAATTGCTCAAACAAATTGCCACAAATGTGTAACTCTTGTAAATTTGTGCACAATTTCACGTTTTTATCAAATGATTTCATAAAAGTTTTATTAGTGGTGGAAATGGATATACGAATAGATTTCAATTGTTTAGCAAACTTTGCAAAAAAATTATCCAATGTTTTGGTATTTTTGAATATTTGTAAATCAATTTTAATATCAATTGCACGCAAATAATGGCAATGTGTTGTTATTGTGTCCAACTTTTGGTTGTAATCATAAAAAGTAATTTTTCTAAAATTTTTCAGTTTTTTAATAATAAATATTAATTTGTTTTCAGATATAGAATATTCTTTAACCGTAAGCTCTGTTTGTGTCATATATACCACACTTTGCCACTGTTTACACACCTCTTCGTATCGGAACCGCTCTTCGAGTGACAGATAAGACAATATGTGTCCACACAAGTCATCACCAAATCTGTCGAAAGACTGTCTATTATTTATAACACATTTAGTACTCATTTTAAATATACATTCAATTAACTAATTGTTAATAATTATTAAAACCAATGAAATATAAATATAACACTTAATAAATAAATGTAAATGTCTGTCAAAACATTGACATAACCAATGGTTACGCAATACCTGTCCGCGCATTGCATAACATTTATTGATTATTATTGTAATTCACTTTTAGGTTGAATTCACTGTCAATGCAAATTCTGTGCCCAAATCATTGATCACTAAAAATGGGCGCAAAATTTAAAGCAATTAATATGAATATACAGTAGTTTTGAATTAAGTTTTTTAATTATAATTTATATACAATTAAATTAGTTATTATAGTTATCAATGAATGTGTGGTTACAATAACTGCAATGCCAGCTGGAAGTGAAGGAAACTGTTAACTACTGTTTAGTGCGATCCGTAAAATAATGGTTAAGATATTTGGGAAATCTGGTCATCATATGATCGACACAACAATTATCATCGATACCCACAGAAGTGTCTAAATGAAATCGTTTTAATTTTGGTAATTCTGACAATGAATTCAACACATTATCAGTGATTTTCACCGAAAGAGTACAGAATATGTCCCGAAGATTAGGGTATTTGTGAGAAATGCGGTCAAAAAATGCTTCATTGATCGGAAAATTAAGCCATAGATGTGTTATACGTTTACATTCGAGCGAAGAGTAGTCTCCCGTAAATTGACTGTTAATTTCCAGACGTTTTAATTGTTTAAAGTATTGATTAATTGTCGCAAACAATTGATCGCAAGTTTCCTGTTTGTCGATCGACACGTTAAGCGATAGTTTGCGGAGTTTTAAACAATTAATACCAATTTGTTTCAATTGATTGCATGTAATGCTAGTGTAAGGCTTGTCGTTACTGAACACTTCGTAACTAATTTCAATTAATTGAGGCATTTGTGCGAAACTATCGTATAGTGTATTGAATGCAAACGCATTGCAATCACTAGCGATGTTCACGTAAATTGATTGCAAATTATTGCCATATATTTCCACAAATTGTTTGTAATATTCAGTGCTATTGCTCTCGAATTGGAGGGAAATATGGCGTAACTTCCGAAACGGGACACCATTTTCATCGCCCGAACACATGAATCGCAATAAATTGTGATTAAAATCATTAATAACTGTTAATTCGTGTAAATTTGTGCAAAACTTTATAATTGTTTCAAATGACTGCCAAAATGTAAAATCAATTTTGTTTTGGTAGACATCGCCCGCAAACATATTTTTCAATTGTTTGGCAAACTTTGCGAAAAATGCGTCCAATGTTTCGGCGTTGAGATCGCAATCATTGATAACAGTAATATCATTCAAATGATGGCAATGTCTTGTGATTGTGTCCAGCATTTCATTATTGCCGTAAAATTCAATTTCTGTGATATTCTTCATCTTTTTGACCACAAATTCAAGTTTTTCAACATTCATTGCGAATGAAGATCTGTTGACAGAAACATATGTTTGGGTCTTATATATTACTCTTTGCCACTCTTTGGACACACATTCATAGCGGAACCGCTCTTCGAGTTCCAGAAACGACAATATGTGTCCGCACAAGTCTTCGCCAAATCTATCAAATGATCGCCTCATCGTTGTGTCACTCCTGAGGACACGACCTCTTCGTCTATCCATTTGTTTCCCACTTATATATCAGTCAATAATTCATTAAATGTATTAAACAATTGATGAATTAAAAATCAAAACACTGTAGAAGTAATGAAAACACGTGTTAATCACACAAACGATAAGACAATGCAAAGCAAACACAAAGTGTTGACAACAAGACTCACAGCAAGGCTTTGGAGTCCAAAGTTTGGACAATAAGTTTCACACAAACGTTACACATATAGAGGGTATTGGGGGCTAAGCATTGAACCCCCTTTCATGTATACTAATAGTGCATTCCTCTCCATAACATATTTATATAGAGTAACGGTATTTGTGACGGTTTCCAAGTCATTGACACATCTATTGACACATATTTTCAATACATGTGTTTTCGGTGCCAATGTATTTGAGCATCCCCACATATTATGCATCAAATCCATCTAGAATTCAACGCTGAACTCGAATATCAAATCAAATTTTTTTTAACTCGAATATATTTCGAGTTATTCGACTTTAAACATCCCATAGAAACCCATGTTAAAAATATTTTTATGAAATTTTTATAATTAGCACATATAACCACAATCAACCCTCTAGCACACCCCTAACCCACCCTAACCTAACCTAACCTTACTTAACTTAATATAACCAACTTAATTTTATATAATATTTCATAAATATATTTTTAACATGGGTTTCTATGGGATGTTCCGAACTCGATATTTCAAAAAGTATTCGAGATAGAAATTTTTGGTTTTGATATTCGAGTTCAGCGTTGAATTCTAGATGGATTTGATGAATAATATGTGGGGATGCTCAAATACATTGGCACCGTGTTTTCATTGAATGTAAATATTGTGACATTTGTTGTGACAAAAACACAGTTCATTCATACAATCACTTCATTTGATCCCAAGATATGACACAACAGATGAAACGCTTTAAGATACCACTCAAGAGGAGAGATGATAGCAATGAAGACAACAAACAACAGGTATTTTACATACAAATTGAGTGTTTAGTGAAATTTAAATGATTTTATCACTCATTTTAGGCACAAATCAATGCCAAAAAGTCTTTGGATCGATTCGGTGATGATTTATGTGAACTTCTATTGTCTTATCTCTCACTCGAGGATCGATTTCGATTGGAATGTGTGTCCAAACAGTTCCAGAGGACAATCTTCGTGAGTGTTGTGGACATCACTCTTAGCGATGAATTAATACAGAGATTACTGTATGAGAAGGCAATTGACGTCGAGTTTACGATTTATACACAAATTGTGGACACAATTGACACACAAATGTTGGCCACAATTACCAGAAAGTGTCCAAACAATCAGACCATTGACTGTCGAGGAATAACTAAGGATTATAAAGAACACATTCCCGATGTGTTGAACACATTTCGAGGCAAATGTCTTAATTTACGGCACATTTACTGCAATACATGTAAAAACAGCGACCAATGGATCCGTTCATTTGGACCACTGGTCACCCGAATCGATCATCTTTTCGACAGACGAGTGCTCACTCATTGCCACCGGTTATCACAATTAAAGGCCAATTATTTGGATCAAGTTTTTGACTTTACTTCTGGAGCACTACTGGCAAAGAATTTGCATAAACTAGAGTTGAAACTAGAGTTCAAATACTTTGCAGACTATAATAAC